ATCCGGGAGGCATAAACATGTATCACGACCTTAGTCGCCAATTTTGGTAGAGGGGAATGAAGAAGCATGTGGCCGTGTTTGTGTCGAAGTTCCTTACTTATTAACAAGTGAAGGCCAAAGATCAGACTAGCAGGTTTGTTGCAACCCTTGCCTATAGCCGAGTGGAAGTGAGAGCATGTCACGATGGATTTTGTTGTGGGCCTTCCGAGGAATCAACGGGGTAGTGATGCAATTTGTGTGGTGGTTGATCAGTTAACCAAGTCAGTGCACTTTATACCTATAAGCGTAAATGACTCGGTAGACTTTCTAGCTGACTTTTATGTTAGGGACACAGTGAGGTTGCACGGGGTCCCTGTAACGATTGTTTCAGATAGAGATCCGCGTTTTACGGCTCGATTGTGATAGAGTCTACAGAATGCCTTGGGCACGAGATTGACTTTTTGTACTACGTATTATCCTCAAACTAACGGGCAATCTGAGAGCGTACTATTCAGATCCTTGAGGATGTGCTTCGAGGTTGTGTCCTTGACTTTAAGGGGTCGTGGGAGAGGCACTTGCCCTTAGTGGAGTTTGCCTATAATAATAGCTTTTGGTTGAGTATTGGCATGGCACCATTTGAGGCCTTGTATGGTCGATCGTGTATATCTCTTGTGTGTTGGGCCGAGGTGGGCGATGCACCTATGTTGGGTCCAGAGTTAGTTCGGTATACGACAGAGAAAGTCGCCCTTATACGTAAAAGGTTGGCTACTGCCTAGAGTCGCCAGAAAAGTTACGTCGACCGTAGGAGGAGACCTTTATCTTTTGAGGTAGGAGATCATGTCTTCTTCAAGATATCACCTAGGTGGGGTTTGATGAGGTTTGGGAAGAGTGAGAAGTTGTCCTCTAGATTTATTGGGCCTTTTGAGATCCTAAAGTGGATTGGAGAGATAGTATATCACTTGGCCTTGCCACCACAGCTTTCCAGGGTTCATGATGTGTTTCATATTTATATGCTTCAGAAGTATGAGTCGAATCCATCACACGTGTTAGATTGGACCGACTTAGAGGTAGATGAGGATGCCTCGTATGAGGAGAGACCAGTGAGAGTCTTGGATACTCGAGACCAAGTCTTGCGAGGCAAGACAAAATTCCCTTGGTTAAAGTATTGTGGCGACATCATGAAGTTAAGAAAGCAACTTGAGAACGTGAGTTGGAAGTTTGTGAGAAATATGAAGACCTATTTGTTAATGTTTGAGCACGTATTGAACCTTTTGTTATGTTGATTTAATATAAACATTGCATATGTTTTAGAAATGCGAATTGTATATTTAGTACTGAGAACTTGTTTATCATGTTGATGAGAATAAATGCCAGATGGATGGGTCATGGTATTAGAATTGGTTAATTATCATTGTTGTAACTGATTTAAACATGGTTTTAAAAAAAAAAAAATTGATTTATAATTTCGGGGACGAAATTCCTTAAGAGACCCTGAAATTCCTTAAGAGAGGGAGATTATAGTGATCCTGAGTTAGACCCGACCCATTTATCACTTTTAAACCCGTGAAAACATATTCGTAATGGTCATTCCTTTCTCTTTTTGTTTGGCTTTGGCTTCAAGGGTCGACACTATCCTTGTTGGTGTCGACATTGCCTTCTTTTCCTTGTCTTGTTTTGCTCCTAGGGTTGACACCGGCTTTGGAGGTGTCGATGCCATCTTACTGTTATGTTCTTGGAATGGCTATTGAAATTTATGGTCGACACTAGCCTTGGTGGTGTTGATACTTGTCTTTTGTTGTTAGCTTTAATGGTCGACACTAGTCTGAGAAGAGTTGATCCTTGTCTACTGCAGAATCTGGGTTTAGTTGTTGAAATTTAGTGTTGACACTAGTCTGGGAAGGGTTGACACCTTGTTTGCTGCTAGTATTGTTTTTCTTCAATTCTTCCTGAAGGGTCGACACTAGTTTGGGAATGGTCGACCCCTGTGAGTCTTTTTCCAAATTTTAGTTCAGTTTTAGGCCCTACTTCTTGGGGATTTTGACTTGTTCTTTTGGGTTAACTTTGAGACTTTATTTCACTTTAACCTAGCACTATAAATAGGGCCCTCACGTACTCTTTTCTTCACTTTGTCTTTTCTTTCTCCTCTCTAAACTGTGAGTCTCTCTTTTCTCTCTCTAAACTCACTTTTCGCTCAAAGATCTTTAGATCTACTCATCTAGAAGCATCTCCTCATCTTACTCCTTTGAGATTAAGTGTAGAGCTTGTCGAGGGTTTCGTTTTGATCTAAGTAAATCGTTGTTTCGTCACCGTCAACTTTGGGCTTTTCTTCATTCTTCCTATTCTAAGTTTGAGGTAGGGATTTTTCGCACCCTCTTATGAGTTCTAACTTAGTTATTTTATATTTCTAAAACAATATTGTGATTTTTGGAGATTTTGGACAAATCTAGGGTTTTGGTTGGAAATCAAAAAGAGGAGTTTTCAAATGGTTTATTGGAAATGTTTGTAGAAAGGTATTTATTGTTGACCTATGATGAAATGATGGATTTTTACCTTTGGATATGATTTGTAAAGAAAAAGGGGATTTTGCCCTAGAAATCTTAAATGTTGATCTTGTAAAGATAATGAAAATGATGTTGGGTTTTATGTAATTGGAATGATGTCTTTCTCTACTAAAAGAAGATTTTGAAAGAAAACAAGGTTTGCTCTAAAACCATGGGTTTGACTTGTGTTGGAAAAATATTAAAGGATGATGTTAGTTTTGTAATACCGCTCATGTCTTGATGATGGTGATGGAGGATATTGATGATGATTGCGAAGTTAGATATGTTATATCGCTCACATCTTGGAAATGATGATAATGTGTATTATTATTGAAATTTTCTATTTACTAGATATATCTATTTTGGGGTATCGGTGGAGAATAGTTATGAGTGTTGTAGAAATTTCATTAGAATTAGGTGAACTAAAACTAATTTCTTATCCATGTGCATTGAATATTGTAGCTTATTTAATACATTGAAAATGTATATGATTTTGAGAAAAAGGGGTAAACGTTGGAAAGAGGTGTGTATCACTAAATCAAGTTGGTCTATGTGTCTAGGGTGAAAGTCCCAAAAAACGTGCATATACATGGGTGTCGATTTCCACGGAGGAAATATCCGTAAAATGGAAATAGTAGTGCTTGTATAGGCTACGTTTACATGAGTGTCGTTTGATGGTTTCCTGTAGACAAAATATCTGTGAAAAGTTGTACCGGTTAAGAATTCCCCTTGTTTTCTATTGTAAAGAATATGAATTGAGAATTGTGATATAAACTGAGCATGACATAGTTTTGAGAAAGAAATGCAAAACATTTTGACATGAGTATTGCATATGCATTTCACCCTTATATCTTTGTTAAGATTTATATATTGTGTTGGATTATTTTTACTAGGTTTTGGCTTACCTTATATGGGAAAACTATTTTCAGGTGTTAGTGAGATGCCTCTGCCAAGGAAGTAGCTTGGGAGGATTGGAGCAAGAGCTTCATTTTGTTTACTTTGTTGTAATTAGTTTGTGTAAACCCAGGGCTTTATTTGTATTGGATATAGATCTATGTCGATGTAACCAAGCACAGTCTAGGATAGTTGTAGCCTTCAAGGCATTTCAGTTATATAACTTTTATTTCACATTTTGATGTTGGCACATGTCATAAATTCAAGATTAAGTCTTATGAATGTATGTTCGCATGTATCACTCTTTTGTACAATTGAGTCTTATGTATTGGAAGGACTTTCTACTCTGATTTAGATTTTGTTATGGATGATTTATTATAATTTATTTTGGGGCGTTACAAAGTTTATATCACCATTCATGAATACACCTCTCACTTCCAAGTAAATTCTTTTTTTTTTTGGTTGCACTTATATAAATTAAAAAAATAAAATAAAATGAAAGGTAACATGGTTATGTAAAATACAGAACTAATTATGTAATTATTGCTCAAGTTGTCAATGTTCTTAGAAAATATTTAAGATCCGAGTTTATAAATAAACCGTTAACTTAATTTATTAACATAAAAAAATTAATTATACTTTTCACTATGGTCTTTATACATTACAACATATAAGAGTTTTAGAAATCAAATGTTTTGGTTTCTAAAAATGAAAATTTTATTGTAAAAGACATTTAGGGACCAATTTTCATCGTCATGAGGATAGTCGCTAAAATGTCATCCCAGAAAGTCAAAAACAAAACTTTTAGAGAGAAAATTTTAAAAATGTCACTAATAAATAAACTTTTAGGGACAAAATAATTTGGACTCAAAATGATTTATTTTTTGAGAAAGAAAATTTGGCCCCAAAAGGATAATAATTCATCACTAATGTCCAATTTTTGTTGCTAAAAATATAATAATGACAGTTTTCGCAACAAAATTATTTAGTTCCTAAAAAATAATTGTTCCTAAATTTTAGTCTCTAAAACCTTAATTTTTTGTAGTGATAGTTTCAATTTAAATAATATGGTCATTCCGTTTAAATTTCAATAATTTTTCTTATGTGTACACCTTAAAGGACTAACATGTATAAAAAAAAAATTATTAATTTTAATCTTCAATTAGACTAAAAAGACTAAATTGAAATTAGATTTAAAGTATAATGGTCAAACTTTTTAATTTAAAATAATAAGATATAAAAAATCAGGGAAGGGTAGTGAACCCATAACAGCAATGTCCCAGGATCGCAATCCAAGAGTAGTTTCAAAGTCATTATTTTGTTTTATAAAAGAAAAAAATAAAAAAATAAAAATTTATAAGCATTAAAAGTGTAATTAGTTAATTATATATTTTTTTCTCCTCGTGTATAACGACAGGTGCTTTTCTTAAATGTGGAGAGGATGACTGGACAAAGAATAAGATCAAAAGTTGCTTCCACATTTGGACATGCTTTTCTTTTTGGTGAAGTCTAAATATTTGTTTGCTTGAGGTGCGTTGCAAACTCAACATTATAAATAGACCTCATGTGTTGTTTTAATTTAATCATCAAAATCTAAATTCACAATCCAATAATAAGTCACGCTGCAAATAATGAGTAACCTATTTAGCTGCATAAAAATAATGGGTTACTTATTTAGTCGCAGAAAAATCACCATTCTTAGCATTGATGGAGGTGGTGTTAGGGGTCTTATTCCTGCAAAAGTCCTTGAATTCCTCGAGAATGAACTTAAGGTTTGGTTTACATTAACATTGTTTTGTACTTTCTATAGCATAATAACACACATATATGGAGTTAATAACTTTTTTTTCTCCTCAAGTATATATCTAAGTCAAATTTGTACAAAAATTATGGTTAATATTATTTTTTATTTATATTTTTGAGTTTAGTTTCTTTCAAATTGATCATTTTAATTTGAGAGAGTATTTGGGTTTAGTAAGTTAAATTAGAATCGATTTTGGTGATCTAAACTATTTATTTTTTACGGCTTGTTAAGTAGAATATGCATGTAAAAAATTAAAATGATCATACATTGATAACTACTATATGTTTGAAATTAGATTTGTATTATAAAAAATGAATTACTATTCTTGAAATTATATTTTTCATCTATTTTTTTTTAAAACAAATATGATTCAAACATATATAATTATCGATATCTAATCATCTTAATTTTTTACGTAAATATTCTAATCATCGAGTTCTAAAAAGGGAATGATTTAAATAACTAAAATCGGTCACAAAATAGACTTATCAAATCCAAACGCGCAATCAAATTAGCATAACCAATTTTTTTTTCCCTCTTATGAAGCAAAAAACACTACTACTCGTCATAATATATGTGTGTAATTTTGTGATTACATATAGACTCTGGAAAAGGAGGATGTAAGGCTTGTAGACTACTTTGACGTAATGGCGGGGACAAGTGCAGGAGCGCTTATCACAGCTATGCTTGCTGCACAATCAACAACTAATGCCCAACAACTAGGCACATCATCAGCATCATCTCCAGCTCCAGCTCCCAATTCTACCGAACCAATTGATCATGGCAGATCACGACCTCACACAGCAAAAAAAATTGTTGATTTACTCTGCCATACTACTCCCAAAATCTTTGGGAAGTTTAAGCCTGACCAAAGTGACAAGAAGGACCCCTCGGTCTCCAATGGTGAACATGACCAAGGTGACAAGAAGAAGACAACAGTCCCCAGTGGTAACCCTCACCAAGGCGACAAGAAGGAGCCCGAAATCCACGATGCCAAGGACAAGTAAAAAACAAAAAACCAAATCTAACCTTTTTATTTTTGTTTGAGTAATTTTGGTTTGCTTGAATCACCTAAATTTGTGCATTCTGGTCATCCGGGTGGTCAATTGGTTAGTTGTCCAGCCGATCATCTGGCAATAAGGGTGATAGCCGTGGTTGACAAGGGTCACAACCACGGTTGACAAGGATTGCACTAGTCGTCTGGGTGGTCGTCTAGACGGTCGACCGGTAGGCACAAATCCAGGCGATTCGGTCAAACTCAAATTCAATGGATGAATTATTTTTCTTTTTGATTTTATGAATTATTTTTCTTTTTGATTTTATTTATTTAAAATTTTAAGGATAAACAACATATATATTCCTTAAAATTTGCTTAAAATATAGATTGTCCCTTGTGATTTTAGAAATCACAGCACGCTCCTTCAAGTTTCTAATTCCATAACAAATAACTGATTTTATTAATAAATCATCAAGTTAATTAACTGTTTTTAGATATATCAAAAAGATATTTTAATTAATAATTCAGATAATTTTATTATTGTATAGAAGAGTAAGTCGAAATTTTATTTTTTTCTGTTAGTTTTGTTAAATAAAAAATCTGACACTGAGTTATTTGTAATTTTCAAAGCTATAAAAGATAATTCGTATTTTCAGTAAATTTTAATGAGCGTATTTTTAATTTATCCTAATTTTAAATTACAAAGAGGAGGCTTAATGTTATCAAGTTTTTTGAACAAATCATTTTTAATTAATATTATAGAATATCTTTTATTTTTTGGGTGAATATATTATAGCTAATTCATTTAATTTTTCTTGTAATATATATTTAAACTGAAGTATAATTTTCAAAAAAAAAAAATATTTTCTTTTATTTTACTTTATTTTGTACAGATGTCACTGTTATAAATATTGTCAATAATACGAATCTAATCTTTTAATATATCAATTATAATTTTATTTTATTTTTTTTGGTGGTGTACAATGTGATCATCAAACATTGATATATATTGTTTGGGGAAGTGAGTTTGGGACTAAAATAGCCACAAAAAAATAAAATCGGCTATTTTAATCACAACAAGTAAAATATCACATTCAACCCATAATCATTACACTATTCTCTTATAAAAAAAAGTTAAAAAGTCAAAAAGCCTTTCCCAAACTAAACTTTTTAGCTCAGGTTAAAATGAATCCGGATCCTCGGCCGCCTTACCCGGCGGCCCTACCCGGCAGCCCCCCAAAACGACGTCGTTTTGGGGGTTTTTGAATTTTTTTTTTTTCTTTTCTTCTTCTTCGTTCTGGCCGAAGAGAGAGAGGAAGAAGAGAGAGAGGAAGGGGAGGGGAGGGTCGCCGTCGCAGGTCGGACGATCGTCGCCTTGCCTCGCCTCGCCTCGCCTCCGCCGTCGCGGGTCGTCCAGCGCCTCCGATCGTCGCCTCGCCTCCGCCTCCGGCCCGCCTCCGCCTCCTCCTCCTCCTCCCCCGGTGATTATGGCCCCCCTCCCCTCCCCTCCGGCCCACCGGCGGCTCCCCTCCCCTCCCCCTCTCTCTCTTCTTCCTCTCCCCTCCCCTCCCCTCGCCTCTGGTTCGGCCAGAACGAGGAAGAAGAAAGAAAAAAAAAAAAAAATCAAAAAACCCCCAAAACGACGTCGTTTTGGAGGGCTGTTGGGACGGCGGCCGAGAACGGCGGCCGAGAATCCGGACTCAGGTTAAAATAGCCAAAAAAGTCAAAAAGTTAAAAAGTCAACCCACTTCCCAAACGACAACATATATATAAGGGGTTGTTTGGGGTGTCCTAAATAAGTGCACTTTTTGTCTTTTTTGACTAAAAAGTTGAGAAAAAAATATGGATATTTGGATTAACTTTTTGACTTTTTATAAAAAAAATGTGTATTAAAAAATCGTATAAATAAGGTCAAGTTTGGCTACAAAGAAAAAAGTGCACTTATTTCATCTTTTTATCTTTTTTGGGTCACATCAATCAACATCTCCTCTCTACTTTTTCTACACATAATACAAAAAAAGTCAAAAAGTGCACTTATTTAGTCTTCCCAAACTAGGCCTAAGTGTATAGGGAATAAAGTAATGGTGTAGGCTGTACGGTTGGAAGCAGCACGATAGTGGGGTGTGTAGGAGATTTATTCTCTACTTTTCGAGCATAAGTTGGTCGGTTCTGTTCGGCCTATGTGGGCCACCACGGGTCCCGTTTTACTAATCGGAACCGTTATTGTGTAGAATTCGTCGAGTACTATATGCTTGTAAAAAATCACGTTGATTGGATATCGATGGCTATCTGATCGTGTTAGTTTTTTTGTCAACTATTAACTATAACACCATTCATTTTTTATACAAAACGGATTTGATCATGTTGTTAGCGATATCCGGTAGACGTGATTTTTTACAGGCATATAATACTAGACAAGTTCTGCGTATTGAAATTGTTCGAATTATAAAAAAAAGGACCCATTGTGAGCCTGCACGGGCCCAACTTTTCCAATGTCACTTAGTGAATGCTTATAAAATAAATTTTTCTTCCCCTTCAAGGCAGTAAGTTTGACTGATGGGCCGAAAAGTTGAATTATTATTTAATATTTATATATTAATTTTTATATATATATATTTTTTTATGAATAGTGATAATTTTTTAATTTTTTAAATAATTTTTTAACTTTTCTTCTTTTTTAATGGATGGTGTTGAAGAAGTACGTGCAGCTGGTAAAGAAGCATTTAAAGCTTTTGAAGAAAAAGCATTAATGCCTTGGCACGATGCGCGTAACCTTGAGGAAGAAGCTACAGAGGTGTTGGGAAAAGAAACTCGGTTGAAGGACACATTAACCAATGTTGTTATCCCAACTTATGATCTCCGTACACTGCATCCAGCTGTCTTCACTACACGCCTGGTGCGTAACTTACATCCATCTTGTTTAGTTTTGATTAATTTTTTTATTTACTTAAAAAAAAAATTTCAAATAATTCCACCAAAAAAAAAAAATTGTGCATAATTTATATTTTTGGTATTTAAAGATTTTTTTTATAAATATCATATGTTTTCAGTTTAATATATTTGGTGTATTTAAAAAATAAAAATCAATTAGTGGAATACTTTATCAACTATTAATAATTAAAGTCAGTAATTTTTTTCATAAGTTCATAATTATTTTGACAAGATGCCATTAATTTGTAACTCTTTTCTATACGAAACTGTCAGTTATAATGTTATCCTAAATAGAATATAAGACATTAAAGTCTAATAAATATTTTATATTAGTAAGAGGTCCATCTTTATGCTGTGTTTGGTTGGGAGATTTGGGGAGAGATTTAGAAAAGGAAAGGAAAAAGGTATGTGAAACTAGGTGAAATGTAAGTATATTTTATTCACATTTCACCGAACTTTTCCTTTTCCCTTTCCAATTCCCTCCTCAAATCCCCTAACCAACACAGCGTTAATAAAATAGTTTGGTAAGAAGTTCTTTATTATTTTGGAAGACATTTTATTACTAATTTTGTCCCTTATCTATCTATTGAATTTTTTTAACTATTTGTTTAAATAGTTTTCTATCTGTTTAATTTTTTTACTTTATCTATTTAAATATCTATTCAAATTTTATTATCTGCTCATTTTTTTTTGCTTATCTGTTTAAATTTATCTGTCCAAATTTTATTACTTGTTTAATTTTTTTCATAAATTCTTTTTGTTGATTTTTTTATTTGTTCAAATCTGTTCAACAACAACAACAAATGTTTTTATTTTTTCATTGATTGAAGAACTCAGGACCATATTGGAAAACTATTTTCACTTCAAACAAATCTGTTCTGTGATCTGTTCAATATTGTCTTCTTCATAACAAAAACAAAAACAAAAGCAAAAGCAAAAGCAAAAGCAAAAGCAAAAATAAAAACAAGTTTAAATAAATATAATAACAACCCCACTGCCAAGATTAAAAACAATAAAAAATTCAAATCTGAGATCAAAAAAATTAAACAGATCGTTATTGATAGATCTGTCAATAACACAGATCTTTTCAAATTGGAAGCTGAATGTGGGTCAGGATTGGGGTTTTGGCTGGGAGGATTTGAGACAGATCTTTGGCTTCGGAGCTATACGATCAACATGTCTCTCTCTCTCTCTCTCTGTGTGTGTTTATGGTTTCTTAATCTGAGTAATAAGTGAGAGTCACGAAGAATGACTCCGATCAGTGATGGAGTCATGCCTTTCTCTGCAAACTTGCAGAAGTTCTTTTCAACCTAGCTACAAAATCACAAGAAATCTATAATGCATATACATATACATATACATATATATATATATATATATAGAGAGAGAGAGAGAGAGAGAGAGAGAGAAGGATGCTAAGGTTTTGGATTGACATCAAGGGAAAAGATCTTGAGTCAACTTGGAAGGGTTCGTTTGTAAGGCAGAGCCAAAGCGAAGAGATCTGGAGCCCCGAAATCTAGAGAAAGAGAGTGTTGAAAATGATAACAAAACTCTTTTTTACCTCATTTTCTTAGCATCCAAACAGTACAAAAAATCCAAAACAACAATCTAATCCCACCAAATTCAACAAGAAGACCAAACCCTAAGCAAGCCAAATCTATTCACAGATCTTGAACATATGGTTATATATGACATTATGATTTGTTTTCAGTAATGTAATACCAAACCATTGCTCAATTGGTCCCTCTATTTTAATTTTTGTCAACCTGATTCTATCACATCATTGTGAATAGAATTATAATTACTTTTTGAAAATTTTAAACATTTTCCTTCTTAAAATTCTGCACACTTCTTTCGCGGCTACTAACGCATGTAAATCAATACAGGCTACGGAAGGAAACCTTGATTTAAAATTGACAGACGTAGTTGTCGGCTCGGCTTCTGCACCTGTTTATTTTAGGCCCAAAACATTTAAAGTCGGGAGCAATGAATACACGCTCGTTGATGGTGGTGTCGTGGCTAACAATCCGGTAACATTCTTTCTTATGTTTTTTTAATGATTCTTTTTGACTTGTTTCTTTCGTATTAAAATATTAAGCCTTTATTCATTTTTTATTATCCTAACATATTAGTTTATTTTAAATGTTTTAGCTATATATAATTTGTATAATAAGTAAGATCATAACATTAGTTAATATATTAATATGGACATTCATTAATACATGGAACATTACCGGTGCAATAATTATATTACAAAAGTTAGATTCCATAAAGAATTATTATTTGAAACGGAGGAAATATTAAAAATAAAAACTTGTAATCAAAACGTAAAGTTACATTTGTCAATAATTAAATTTTTATATTTAAATTATTTTTCTATCCATATTATTAAAGAGGGGTGCACTTTTCGTACGTCCCGCTGGAAATTACTATTTTACCCTTTTTGTTTTGTTTTTTTTTTTTAGTCATTATGTTATGTGTTGCCGTGGGGGCGCTTTGAGAAGATTAGTAAAAAGTCAGTTTTTTTTGTCTTTTTTAACTTTTTTTTAAGTCAAAAAAGTCAACTTTTTTATCCAAAACAATCCTGCTTTTTGTCAAAAAAAAATTATTAAAAAAGTAAAAAAGTCAACTTTTTACTAACCTCTCAAAACACCACTATGTAGGTTATGTTGATGAAAAATTTTATAATACATATCCCTTTAAGCAGCGGCAGAGTTAGAAAATTAAATCAAGAGGGACACTTATTATTAATTACAGTTTTATTTTTTTCCCTTCATAACCAACAATAAGAAGATAATAATAATTTTTGAATTAATATTAAGCATAAAAAATTAAATAAATTGTTACAAAAGTATTTCATATAAAATTTTACAATTAATTTCGAGTAAATCGAAAAGAAACTATTACATGTAACTAGTGTACTATTGGCAATGTAAAAAAGTCATATATTTAAGTCGTAAAATAAATTATATAATGGTAAGAAAAATAAAATTTTTACAAAATTTGAGTAAAAATTTCATATAATGGTAATATCACGTCATGATTGACATATGATATTACCAACCAATAGTAAAACAACATATGAAGGGTGAACTCCACATGCAAATATAACTAGCACTCTAATAATTTTTACATATATATAGTGAGATTAATTATATTTACATATCAATAATGATGGATAATACTTTGATATTGAGATTTTTTCACAAAATTTTTATACATAAAAATATAATTTGTTGTAGTCACTTTATTTTAAATAAAACAATCACTATTGTTTTCATAAATTTAAAAATGGCCTTGATATTTTATTCTAAATATTATTTTTGTTTAAAATTTTATTTATATACATATGTAAAAAAAAAATTTGAAAAATTCAGGGGAGGCACGTGACCCCCTTAGTCTTTGTGTCACTGCCTTTAAGGGTGTATATTATATGTATTTTTTATGTGTTTTTGTAGTGTATGTTACGTATTTTGTGGTAATGTTACATATTTTTTCAGAAAAAATTTTAAAAAATAAAAACCTTGGATTTGATCTTTATTACAAAATAAACCCTGAACTTTTAATTTTATCAATTTAAACTCTAAATTTTTGGTTTGTTTTCAATTTGAACCATTTGTCTATTTTCGTTAAGTAAAATTGATGAAAAAATAAGTAATTTAGTCATTAAACTCAATATAGGTATACATATGTTTAAAATAACCATTTTATAGGTTTTATTTTATTTATTTATTTATTATTTTTTGTGTGATTCTCTCTATTTTTTGGAGAGTTATAACAATTTGTGGTTCATAAATGAAATTACACATCATATATACGCGCGTGTGTGTATATATAATTAAAGGTAACGTTTTTGTCTTGGTTAGTGACACATTCTAAAGGTTTACTTTTTATAAAGAAAAAAATTTACATCAACATGTCTTTTCCATTTACACATAAAACACAAACTCAATTTCAATTGTAATAACTAATTTTATATAGATTCTATTTGAAAAATACTTATTTTTCATATATATAACTATAATTTAATTATTACGATATTTGAAAAAAAATTATCTCGATATACAAATAAATAAATAAGACAAAATATGCTTAATTATGTGTATCACATGGATCAAATTAATTTTTTTTTACATTTATTTGTTTTTTGTCTATCTTATTGCTGTCTTAATATTAATTTATATTTAGTTTTTTATTTAACATGAAATTATTTATTACAAAACATTTATATTTAATTTAAAATTTATATATCTATATGTATGAATAATGCAAAAAGAATATTAAAGAAAAAAAATCAATACTTTACATACTTAATTGTTTTTTCTTCTTAATCCAATCACAACATATTTATATTTAATCTTTTAAATAAATTTTGTATAATTCTATTTCTACATATTTTTATTTTTCTATTTAAATAAAAATAAATAATTAGAATCACTTTTTAGTTTTATATTACTAATTTTCTTTCTAATTTAACTATTACTTTTAATGTCAAAATGAGTGTTTATTTTACTATCTTATAATTTAATATATATCATATAAAATCATTATATGATAATCACACTTTTATAGCAAATAGAACTATATTATTAAAATATACAAATAATTTAACTAAATTTATTATATATAAGTATTCAAGTAACAATTTTATAGAATAGCAGTATCAATATTATTAAAATAAATAGTTAAAATCATACTATAATTTTAATTTAAATTTAAAATTAAAATTATTCTTTTATAACACAAATTATACCATCAAATATTTTTTGAAAAAAAATTACATGTGTATTATACAAGGTCAATTGCCAATTAAAAATATATATGTATTAATTATAACAGAGCAGAGCGGTTTCAAAGATGAATTGGTGCGATTTTAACCGATTATGCGATATTTTGCATAACTCTAATTATAAGGCTGAAACTTTAGAGTTTTTTTTGAAAAAAAATAATTTTCCCATAAACTAAATATAATTTATTTTATATTGTTAGCGTTAATCATTTTTTTATTCAATGCCAGGACAGGAGCAATCTCATGTGGGCAAATGTAAACAAATCTCGTGTGAGTACGGTCGTACGAAATTCCAGCGCCCAACTCATAAAAACCAAAAGTAAACGCGCCGTTGCCGGGGATCGAACCCGGGTCACCCGCGTGACAGGCGGGAATACTTACCACTATACTACAACGACTTTATATTAATATCTTTTCATGTTTATATATAAGTTCATGTTTACATATGAGTCTATTATATATTTGTCTATTATATATTCTTGTTTTAGAAACGTGTCCGATAATTTATTTTCAACTTGTGATTCATTTAAATTGTGTTTGATTCATAAATTTTAAAAGAAATTTAGAAGAAAAAAGAAAAAAAAAAGTAAGTAAATTATAATTACATTTCACTAACGTTTCATATACCTTTTCTCTTCTCTTTTTGAAATTTCTCCCCAAATTTATGAATCAAGCACAATTTTAAGAAGTGAATTTTTAGTAATTTTTTTTTTAGGGTAAACTACCAATAGGTCACTTATTGATAATAAGATATAAATTTATACTATGAAATTAGATGAAATGAAAATTTATGAGATAAGATACAATAAGATTATTGATAGGATTGTGAGAATAAAATTATATTAATATATGATAAGATCATATATAGTGTTGTGAAGGATGTGATTATATAGGGGATAAATAATTGAATAGAATGAGTAAGCTACTATATATTGGAAAATTTAGTGAAATATCATTCTCTAACTTTGTGTAGTACGAGAGATTCAAGATATATATTTTTTTATTAGTTAAGGTCCCTTGATAAAAAAATTTCTATAATCATACTAGCGAAATTTTGATATTTCTTTATGAAATCAGAAAAATTTCTCTGTGTCGGAGTAAAATTTTTCTAAGTCGATTTTCTTTATACAAATGTTGAGTGATCCCAATTACTATAAAAATATTGTATGTCATGTATCTTATAAAATTTTAATATCAGAGACCTTAAAAAAAAATTGAAAAAATTAGTGAAATATCCATTTTCAATTTTTGATAGTAGTAGAGGTCTAATATATTTTTTCTTATTAATTAAGATCTCTCAATAATATTATTAGAGAAATTACTCTTTAAAGAGTTTTCAAAATTTCTTTATGAAAATATTGAAATCCTCAACTGCTATGAAAATGTTACATTTTTTATCTTAAAAAATCTTAATATCAAAACCTTTAACTAAAACCTTTTTTTTTTTTTTTTTTTTTTGGTTCTTGCAATATATATATATATATGTACACACGTAATTACACCAAACAGGTGCTATGTGTTTTTCTTTTTATTTTTTAATTAATTAATTTATTGTGTGTGTAGACACTTCTTGCTATAAAAGAAGCAGCACAACTATTTGGAAATCCACGTGACTATAGTAATTATCTAATTCTATCCCTTGGTACGGGCAAGGAAGAGGCTGTCCTTGTTGGACACGACACTATTTCATTCGGCGGGAGTGCCTTCGAGTGGCTCCAGTTTTTTACGGGAACACCAAAGTTGTTGGAAGTGATATTCGGAGGGTCCGATGATATTGTAGATGTCACCACTTCATTCATCCTTGGTAAACATAATACTCACCACAATTATCTGCGAATTCAGGTATGTACTTGTTCTCTCTTTGTAGGAATCACTCATCTTTTTATATTTTATTTTGTGCAGTAATTTTAGTATTACATTGATAATTTAATAAATTGTTCATCTTTATTTTTATAAGTTTCATAATAAAGATGAATTATATAAAAAAGAGTAATATTAAAGATCTCAATAGTTTTAATAATATTTTTACCAATGAGTGTAGGACTCACTTCATATCTTCATGGTGTGAGTTTCACGTTCATGTATAACATTTAATAGAAATATTGATAAAATTTTAGAGTTTCTAGCATTTTTTTTATAAAAAAATTAGTTTCATTGAGTATAAATATACAAACAAATTACATTTTATTTTTTAAAATAGATGCATACTACGAGTTCAAACTTAAATCATCTATTTATAAAATAAAATACGATTTATTCATCTAAACATTAATATCTGATAAAATTATTTTTTTACACAGATAATTTTTACTATAAAATATATAAGATAAACGGTTCAAATTATTGTTATAGTTAAAAGTAGGGCTATAAAATGGTAGATTGTGGTATGGATGGGAGTAATTCTCTCAGTGTTTGCTAAATAAAAGTAAACTTCTAACTATTAAAAAAAAATTGTTTTTTTTTTTAATTTTTAATTTCAACTGATTTAGGTGACAAAAAGAAAAAAAGCAAAAGTCTTTTTGTTTATTTGTAAGGAAAACTTACTTGTTTGGCGAGTATTAAAAAATTATTTTTTTTAAATTTCTTTTTATCTTTTCAAGTTATTTTAGTCGTGAAAGATCTCATCAAAAATATATATATATTTTTAATGAGATGTGATATAATATAAGATGATGTCATACTTGGCATTTAATTTCGTTTGATTTTATTTATGGAATTTTATCAACCGATAACAACACATAAAATGATGTCATGGTGATAGTCACGGTCACAGTCACAATCACTGTTACTAATAGAAAAATATGTATGGCTTGAATTGAAATAATTAACAAATACTAGAAAATTATAAATACATACTAATAATTAGAAAATGAAACTATCAGCGATATGACATGAAGCATGATGAGATGGACATCGACAATGCGAGTGAAAAGAATCTTCATAGGCTAAAAGAAATTGCTGATGAGCTTATTCACAATAAGTTTCTTAAGGTTCATGACTCGGAAACTGGCTTACTTAAAGACACACCTGAAGACGTTGCTCCCCTCAAGATCGAATGTGAGCTCAAGAGGTAAGATTTATTTATCAAATACTACAGCAATACATACATATTTGATTAACCAAGTTGAATATATATAATAAATAAATATTTCTAATTAATAACATTAGTCCTGAATTTATTGGTTACTTCGTGAATTTTTCTTAGTCGGGCCAATGAAAAGCTCAGTACTATTTTGACAATCCGGTTAAAAACAAATTTTTTTTTTTTTAATCGCATCATCTATCTACTTTTTTATACTTTTTTTTTTTTATAAAGAAAATTCAAAAAATCAGCTTTTAATTAACCTCCCAAAACATTTATAAAGAAAAAATTGCCACCCATCTTATAAGCATTTTTTTTTTCCAGGTTTATTTTTGTGTTTAGCATTTTTTTTTACTTTGTCAATTTTTATTTCAGGGAGATCTATCTCAACTAGACGACTGAAATTAAAAAATGAAAATTAGAAAATCTTTTTATTTTTTATTTTTCGTATTTTTCTAATATTTTTAATTTTTTTTTTTTTACTTTTTGAATGTCCTTAATATATTAAAAAAAATTTACTAAAAATAAGAAATAAAAAACTTCATTTTCAAAAAATTAAATTCTAAAAATTGAAATAAAACAAGGTGAATAGTGCCACATCACATAGTAAATAGCAAACGATAACAAATATGTATGTCATAAATTTACTTTATTTTCCATTAACATACAAAATCTACTTACTCCTTTGCAGATTTGCTGAAAGACTCTATTATGAAAGGAGAAGGCGCGAGTTTTACAGGAAGTATTACCATGTGATGGTGATTATCTGTTTTCTAGTGTTAGTGTTCTTTGGATTTCGTGGTGTTGGATTCATTTAATTTTGAACCAAAACCACTGCTCATAAAAAAAGGTTCACCACCTATATCTATATTATATTTTCATTTTTTTCTTTTACCCTTGATTTCAGAACAAAAATAAGAGAGGCATAATCTCTCCAACAAGTGAATGTGTAAAAATAAGTGTGTGATAAATTGTTGCTCTTCGTTGTAATGTTCTATCCTTTCTTATATAATCAATAAAGTACAACTTTCAATTAATTATCTCTTGTTTAATCGTGTTCCAAATCCTTGCTGCTTGACAGTTAAGTTTTTTTTTTTTTGTTTTCCCCCTTCTCCAAGATCTTTCACGTCGTCTGTAAGTTTTTCTTGTATTGCACCAAAATGAAGTTGTTTTGGTGCGTGAAAAAAATAAATAAATAAAGACATCATGAAAAATCTTCATGAAGATTATTTATCCTGAATTAGTTTGTATTATTTTATTATATGTTATGTAATCAGTCTTGAATTAGTTTCATAAAAAAAAAAATTATGATATTTATTTCACGATGCGTAGTATTACTAAAGGGCAAAAAATAAAAAATAAAAAAAGTAGAGACCCACGGAGCAGAAGCATAGAGACCACCAGAGAGAAAAGCTCTAGCCTCTGTCCCTCTCCAGCGTCGGCCAATGACATCATCGTGACCTTCTCCTCTTCTCCTTATTTTTCTTCTTCTTCTTCTCTCTTTGTCGCAGATTTCCTCCTTCACTGTTATAACAATTTTGGTTTAGACCCGACCCGTTTATTATTTTGAATATGGGACTCCTTATCTTAAATGGTTGTTTATACTCTTATATATCCTATTCTTGATTAATTTTGGTTATTTGGATGTCATTGTTGCGTTTGGAACAGGTTGGGAGTCCGTTTTTCAAAGGAGTCATTGCCTAGATTTTGGTTAGTTCACTCGAGCAATCCTTTGGTCACTTGAGCGGTCTTTGAGAACTTCCAGTATATTTGCAGGTCTGTATGTAACGCCTCAAAAATAATGACAATAAAACAAGAGTAACAATTAATTAAACAACAACATATTTCGAGAGTAAAGTCCTTCCATTCATATACTTCAAGTGTACAAAAAAAGTAATACATGCATTTATACATTCACGATGTCCTAACCTTGAATCTATAGCATGTTCCACAAGTAAGCAATACGAAATAAAAGTTAAACAAATAAAGCCATGCCCTATTGGCCACAACTTTCCAAGATAATACTTGGTTATAACAAAAGTGAGTTTGAAACTTAATACAAATAAAGCCCTAGGCTTGAACAAAAGTAAATACAACAATAACAAAAGAAGCTCTTGGCTGTAAGTCCTTCCAAGCTACAACCTTGGCAGAGGCTTATTATCAACACTGGAAAATGGTTTTCCACATAGGGCGAGCCAAAGCCCAGTACAGATACTTTAACAAAGTTATAAGGTGAATGCATATGCAATGCTCGTGTCAAAACATTTTATATCTCTTTCCAAAAAAAAAACATGGAATGTCAAGTTTATATCACAAATCATGAAAATACTTTCCTTGACAATAGAAAACAAGGTAGTGGGAACAAGCATTGGGAATCTCTACGTACGTGTCTATCAGTAGGCTATATAAGCACTACCAATGCCATTTTTACCGGTATTAACCGGAAGGCTTGGCACCTAACCGCACGGGTTTCTGCACTTTCACAAAGGACACATAGACCAATAATAATACCACAACTACACCGCCTATCCAGATTCACCAAGGTATTCACGTATTTTTCTCGAAACAATATACATTTTCAATGTGTTAAATATGCAACAATGCTCAATGCAAATGGATGAGAAATTAGTTTCAATTCTCATAATTTTCATGCAATTTCTACAACACTCATAGCTATCGTCCACCAATAGCCCAAACAGAAATCTCTAAATAGATATTTAATTTCGAATAAAGATATACTTTCCAAAATTTCAAGATGGGAGTGATAATGCATATCCAACTCTACCATCATCATCATTATCATCATTTCAATTTCACAAAACCTAACATCATTTCCATTTCCTTTGTACAAAATCGAGTATTCAAGATTTTTAGGAAAAAATCCCCTTTTCTTTATAAATGAATTCCAAGGTTAAAAATACATCATTTTATCACAACTCAACCACATTTACAATCTCACAACCATTTTCAAGAATCTATTTGAAAACCCCTCTTTTGATTTCAAACCAAAACCCTAGATTTGTTCAAAAATCCCCAAATCTCAAGATTTCTTTAAAAAGATAAATAACCAAGTTAAAAACCATTCTAAAGTGCGGAGAAATCCTTACCTCGAAACTAGGAGACAAGAGAGAGAGAGTGAAGAAACATCAACGAAACTGAAAATCAAATGTGCTCCGATTAGAATGAAGCTCTAGGTGAGCTCTACCTTTTTATCAATGGGACTAAGGTGTAGAGATCAATGGATGACAATGTACTTGAAGGTAGAATATGAGTTCTAGAGAGAGAGAGAGAGAATAGATCTGAGATTTTGGAATGTTTAGAGAGAGAGATGCAAAAGTGATCCATAAAGTGACTTTTACAAACTGATATACGCGTAGACCACTTGAGCGACTAAAACACCGCTCGAACGACCAGACACAATAAGTAAGACTACTCGAGCGAACAAAGTTATCGCTCGAGCGCACAATGACACCCTTTCAGAAGTTTTGCAGACAGAGGCTGACCATTTGAGCTCAAGAACAACCGCTTAAGCCAAGATCGCTCGAGCGAAAAACACTACCCTCCCAGTACTTTTGTAGTCCTGCAAATATACTGGAAGTTCTCAAAGACCACTCGAGCGACTAAAGGACCGCTCCAGTGAACTGACCAAAATCTTGACTCCTTTGAAAAATGGACCCCAACCTGTTCCAAACGCAACAATGACATCAAAATAACCAAACTCAATCAAGAATAGGATGTAAAACGGTATGAACAATCATTTAAGATAAGAAATCCTGTATCTAAAATGATAAAAGGGTTGGGTCTAAACCAGAATCGTTATAACGCCCCCCCTTGAGGAATTTCGTTCCTGAAATTTTAAATCAAACAACAACACCGTGTTACCCATCTACCGGTCATTCATTCCCAAAACAATGATAAACAAGTTTTCAATGCTGAATATACAATTCATTTTTCCAAAACATATACAATGTTCACATTTAATCAACATAACAAGATTTTTAACATATGTTTTCAAACATTAACAAAAATATCCGGATACTTCTTACGGACTTTTGCCTCGCGCTTCCAAGTTACCTCCTCAACCCCGTGGTGTCGCCATAACACTTTTACCAATGGAATAGTCTTGCCTCGCAAGACTTGGTCCCCGTGTATCTAAGACTCTAACCAGTCTCTCCTCGTATGAGGCATCTACATCTACTTCTAACTCGATCTAATTCAACACATGTGATGGATCTGGCTCATACTTCCAGAGCATACAAATATGAAACACGTCATGAACCCCATAAAGCTGTGGCGGCAAGACCAAACGACAAGCTACCTCCCCTATACGTTCTAGAATCTCAAAAGGTCCAATAAATCTAGGAGACAACTTTTCGCTCTTCCCAAACCTCATCAAATCCCATTTAGGTGATATTTTCAAGAAGACGTGATCTCCTATCTCAAAGGATAACAGTTTCCTCCTACGGTCGACATAACTCTTCTGATGACTCTGAACCGAAACTAATCTCTTATGGATAAGTGCAACATTCTCCGTCGTATCCCGGACTAACTCAGGACCTAACATAGGTGTGTCACCCACCTCGGCCCAACATATTAGAGATCTACACGGTCGGCCATATAAGGCCTCAAACGGCGCCACACCAATACTCGCCTGAAAGCTATTGTTATAGGCAAACTCCACTACAGACAAGTGCCTCTCCCACAACCCCTTAAAGTCAAGAACAAAACCCTTAAACATATCCTTTAGGATCTGAATGGTACACTCTGACTGCCCACCAGCCTGAGGATGATAGGTGTAACACCCCAAAAATAAATAGACATTCTACTCTTGTATAAAATTATCAACATGCAGAACACAACATCAATATGATTATATAACATCATTTCCAGCACGTGCCTCAGTACGTTCTTTTAGTCCTACAACATGAGTTCTTATTAGAGTGAATAAAAGTAAACTATTACAAGTTAAGGCCTTAAAGCTACAAATTTCTTGGGCCTTGCCCGATTATAACAAATGAGTCACAACTCAATACCAAGAAGCCTGTGGCTTAAATTACAAACAAATAACCATATAAAACAATACATACGAGCCTCAAGCTCCAAGATCCTTCCAAGTTATCACCTTGGCGGAGGCACACCAGTTCACCTAAAAGTGGTTTCCCTCGTAGGGTGAACATAAAGCCCAGTAGAAATAAACTTAATGACATGTATGAAGCTTAACAATGTCATAAGATGAATGCACGTGAAATGATATGATACAACCTGTATTTTCTCTCTTTGAAACAATGTGATACGAGATTTTCAAAACATCTTTCCAAATCAACAATATTTGTTCCAAAACAGTCAAGTGGTAAATATAATGAATAAATCTCTAGGGCTAGTGTTCATAATAGTAACTATACAAGTCACTATGCCATTTTTACTGGTATTAACTAGAAGGCTCGGCACCTACCGCGTGGGTTTTAGGTCTGACACCAAGAACACACAAGCCAACTTAATTATGCTTTAACACCCCTTCATAACAACCCTCATTTCGCCTTAGTCATAATTCATGAAATTTACATGATTTTGGTTTGTTAAACTTACATCTGTAGATTTTGATATTTTGCCTAAGTAAAAGTTCCTGTCTTGTCTTGATGCTATTATGTTTTTCCTAAGTGTTATATCCATGCTTTGTTCCTTGCTTGTGTATGTTGAACCTAGGTCATCTATCACTACAACAAAAAAAGTCTTTAGTGACAAACTCATTTTGTCTCCAAACATCAAATTTTTGTCGGCAAAGCAATCTGCGATGAAATAATTTTGTCACCACGTTTGTCACTTATACGTTGTCGCTGAAAGTACCTGGTGACAAAAATAGTTTCGTCGCCTATTTTTCATTTTTGGCGACGAAATTTTTCATCTCTAACATTGCATTTTTCGTTCTCTATAACATCAATTTCGTCACTAGAATTAGATAATATTTTATTTTAATTGTTTTGGCCACGAAATATTTCGTCACCAAATATGAAGACAGAGGTTTTAGTGACGAAATTTATTC